AAAAAAAAAAAAAAAGTTTTTATTTTCTTTCTTTCAATAGTACAAAAAACTTAAAAATTTATAAATCTTTATTAATCATGTACTTTCTCTAGATTTTTTTCAATTATAAAATTTGTAGTATAAACTCATTCTAATAATCTTGATCAGGTGTTTATACTTCTTAATGTAACAACCAAAAAAAGATTGTTGCTTAGTTTATGGACACATCAAGTAAAACGTTGTTTGGTTACAACATTATGCGGAAGCAAAATGTTTTTAAAAGCCTTGATTTTTTTATTGTATTCACTTTAATAACCGACAATAAACTATAAATATTCTTTTTTCTTTTTACTTTTATATTAGACGGTATTACACAGCAAGTAAACAACGGTATTAAGACTTCCAAATTTTTCGATTTTTTGATTCGATATTTATATATACACTAGAAAACAGGTTCTTTGTTTTCAGTTTAATTCTGCTTAATCATAAAAAAATAAAGTTTGAAGGTTGTTTTATTTTTTCCGCATTATTTTTAATTTATTTTTTGTTTCTTAACGCCAAAAACATCGCTTGTAATCTTTAAAACCTTCAAGAAGCAAAATAAATTTTTTTGGCATCTATAATCATACAAAAAATTTTTCATTTTTTTTAGAATTTCACCGATTGTCGCTCTTTTTCTGCTAAGCGGTAAATTGAAGTAAAAAAGTTTAATTTTAGGTTTTTTGCTTATTTGCACAGCTTTGTTGGTAGCTTATCATAGGAAGAATATTGAAAAATTAAAAAGGAACCTAATTATCACTTCAGGGTTCAGTCGAAAGTGAAACTAAGTTATACTGAATTTAAACCATTTGACCAGTTTACTTGATCACCAACGGCAAAAAAAAAATTGAAAAATCTGTATAGACGGAAAAGGAAGTTTTTCTTTGACGGCTGTTATTACCATGGATGATAATTTGTCGTAAGTTTACTTTTGACTTATAAACTTGAGTGTTACATCGATATTAATAACACTAAATTGCTCTGTTGCAGAAATCGGTTTCACCTATATCTCATTTCTTTACTTATAGCTGTCATGTTTTTTAAGCAAATAAACATCAGGTATTTAAACAAAGAAAAAAAACTCGACTGAGTCACTCTTTTTGATGATCTCTTTTCAAAAAGAGAGGAAGAACTATTTTGCAAAAATGGTTTTTACTCTATGTTATCATTGAAAAGAAGAATTGTTTTTGTTGTTTATACATTCATCTTAAAACTGATATAAAAATAGATGAAACCTTTCCAATAAATATTTGTTTTCTAGTGATAATTGAAAAAGTTATAAAATTGCGGTTGATATTCTTCTTACTAGTTATTGTCTAAGTGTCAAAAATTTAAACAAGCGTAAACAAAAAACAAGAATCTAAAAACACTATGGAAATTGAAATGTGTGATAATCGACGTTAAAAGCTACTTTCAATTTGTCATATAAGTAAAGCCAATCAAAATTTTTGTAGAAAAGAAAAATTAATATTTCAGTAAGAAAACAGCAAGTGAGATAGAAGATAAGCCGGAAGCCAAGTCTAATGAAAGACAGGAAGGCCTTGGATGGGCTGTTACAGCGTTTTTCATCGTTGCAGATTTGGTCGGTGGTGGGGTAGTGGCTATGCCAGTAGCCTTTATCAAAGCAGGTTAACATGTCTTGAATTTTTTAAAATTTGATTTACTGCTAATGCTGATAATAAGTTTGAAAAATAGTAGTTTATTATAAAGCTCAAAATTATCCAACTTTTTTCAGTAACAAAGTTTTTCAAAAATTTTTCAAAAGAAAGTCATCAAATATTTGTGTAACACTAGTAACAAGCTGGTAATAGTTTGTCAGATATTCTTCTTATTATCCTTTTTGTCGCCGTAGAGTCGTCTTCCACATCAGTCTAACTAATCAGTCTAACAACTTCTTAATACATTGGTTGACAGCTACTGTAAGCAACTACTTTCTTACCACAGTAAAGTATAAGTATGCTGTTTCAAACTTTTTGCTTTTTGCCTTTTAAAATTGAAAAGAACCACTGAATTGCATATGGTAAACAATTGATTCAAAGTAGAAACCATTGCAGGTTTGGAAGTTGGAATTGTTTTTATGGTGGCAATATGCTTGTTCTTTGCCTACACTGCAAAACAATTAGGCGAAAATTGGATAATTATGCAAGAACGATGGCCAATTTACAAGCAACACTGCAGAAAACCTTTTCCAGAAATGGCGTTACGTAGCATGGGCAAGGGAATGAGGTGTAGCTTGCTTACCCTTGAAAGCTATTTTTGCTATGATTTTTCATACAGACTGAAAACCTAAGACTATTGCTAAAAACGTATATCTGCAAAAAAAAAAAATTTTGGTCGGTCTTTTTCAGGATAGTAACCTACATATGTGTTTATTTTACACAGTATGGGACAACAGTGGTTTATGTGTTATTGTCTTCACGTATAATCCACAATTTCATTGCATTCTTTGGAGCAAATATTCCATTTTGTTGGATGTTGTTTATTGTATCAATCTGCATACTTCCAGTAACCTTTCTAAAATCTCCTGCTGATTTTTGGTAGGTTATTCTGATTAATTTATCTCTGGAGGTATAGTTGAAAACTTTAGCTACATTATCAGTAAACTATGCCACAGTTTTTATTTAAAGCTGTTGTTTAGAATTGGTGGATTAAGTTAATAGATGTAAAAGCAGATGTAAAATTAGATGCATAAAAAAAGATAAAAAATTTTCATTTGCAGGATAGTAGTAGTGATTGCAATGCTTTGTACAATTGGTGCTGTTATTCTGCTTTTGATTGCTGTTGGAATTGATGCCAAGGATTGTCACGCTGATGTCTATTATCCATCGTTTAAATTTCTTGATGCACTGTTAAGTCTTGGAACCTTTATGTTTGCCTTCAATGGTCACATGGTTTTCCCAACAATACAGCACGATATGTATGAACCAAAGGATTTCTTTAAGTCTGTCGTTCTCGGTTTCACTAGTAAGAAACTTTTGCACATCTATAGTTGGAAGAATACTGTTAAAATACATAACCTATGTATCATAACTTAATAATATTCACTACAGTTTGAAAGATCTTACACTGTTTTATTAATATACAGATAAGTTAAACTATAAAATTGTTACAATTTTTATTTTCAGTGGTGTCAGTGCTGTATATGCCGCTATCAGTAGCTGGTTATGTTGTTTTTGGTAACAGTATGGATGACTCAATTATTGATTCTGTACAGATTCCATGGATACGTTACACAGCTGACTTGGCCATTGCTTTACACTGTATACTGACGTTGATTATTACAATTAATCCAATAAATCAACAACTTGAAAATATTTTTAAGATACCACATAGTGAGTACCGTTTGATTGACACTTAACAGTATCTAACTCAAGTGCTATCAGTTTTGTTAAATTGAAATTTTTTTTGTAAAAAAAAATAATTGTATCTTTTTTATTTTCTCACAAAAAAAAAACTTTTTTTTCAGAATTTTGTGTTCAGAGAGTAATAATTCGAACTTTGGTATTAATAAGTGTTTTGTTCATTGCACTGACAATACCGGATTTTTCGCCTGTGATGAATCTCTTTGGCAGTACAACAATACCAATGTGCTGTGTAATTTTGCCAAGTTTGTTCAATCTATGGTTTAATGCTGCAACCTATGACGAAGATCGCAAAGACTATGCTCGGCCAACAATTAAGGGGTTTGTCATTGACTACTGCAGCAGCTACAATCTTTTGCCATTTTACTTGAACCGGTTAAAAAGTATTTGGCTTTTTTTTTTCTGTTATTTGATTTAAGTAGAGAAATGAAAATTAAAGAGAAGTAATGCTTAAAAATGAGGCATTAAAAAGCAATAAGGTTTATGTAGGCTGAATAAACAATTGCAAAATTTTTAATGAGCAGAAAATGAAAAAGAAAACCGCAATAGCAACGAAACAAAAAAAAAAACTGTTAAAGTTTTTTTATGAAAGAAAATTGACAGAAAAAACGTTTGAAAATATTTTTTTAATTACCATAATAAATATTTAATGGCCATAAACAGTTATATGTACAAACATACTTATTTTGCCTCTTTATTTAAATTGCAAAAAAAAGGAAACAATAATAATAATATTAATAATATTAATAATGATATTAATAATAATAATTTTTACAATTACGGTAAAAGATTTAAAATGTTGTACCTTTTTTTTTCTACTTTGATGTTCTTTTTTTGTTTTAGAGTCTTCCAACGAACGCCAAAATTAAAATTGCTTTGGAATATTCTGATCTGTGGTATGTGCAATTTTCTTTTTGTTTTATTATACTTGATAAAAAGAAAAAAATGGGAGGTTATCATCTGTTCAGTTGTATACAATTATTTCGGCAAATTTAAATGGAAGCCATAAAAAAAGTCAAAAGTTGAGGAAAATAGAACAAAAACTTGTAGAAAACTTACTGCTCAAAAAATAATACCATTGATAAAAAGGACGCTTTGATGTTTTAAGAAGAAATATGAATTGCATAAGATT